GGAGATGTAACCTCAACTCAAAAAACTGCTAGAGACAAACAACTGCAGTCCCAGTACTCAGGAGAGTGAGGAGGTTACAATCATGAGTTTGAGGCTAGTCTGAGCTACACAGTAAGATCATCTCAAAAACTCAAGTAATTTGATGGTTTATAAATTAAACTCATAACCTAAGGTTTTTGTTTTGTTTTTTTGTTGGTTGTGGAGCTTGGGCACTGTTTCAGCGCTCTTCAGCTCAAGGCAAGAGCTCTACCACTTGAGCCACAGCGCCACTTCCGGTTTTCTAGTGTTTTATTGGAGATAAGAGTCTCAAAGACTTTTCTGCCCGGGCTGGCTTTGAACCGTGATCCTCAGATCTCAGCCTCCTGAGTAACTAGGATTACAGGCATGAGCCACAGGCACCTGCTACTCATAACCTACTTTCAGTACTTATGGAATAGATCTGAATACGAACACTCAAGAGTGTCCTATGTCATACAGCAATTAGGTAGAGCAAGAATGTATAACCAGGTCTCTATTATTGGGAAATTCATTCATGTAATATCTGCACTCTTACTTTACTTTCATCATTTAGTTTAAAAAATTGATTGTATAAGTTATGTTATTCAAATTTACCCTTAAAAGGAAGGTGTGTGTGTACCAGTCCTGGGACTTGAAATGAGGACCTAGGCACCAACTTTGAGCTTTTTTTTTTTTTTTGGTCGGTTATGGGGCCTGAACTCTGGGCCTGGGCGCTGTCCCTCAGTTCTTCAGCTCAAGGCTAGGGCTCTACCACTGGAGTCACAGCGCCACTTCCGGCTTTTTTTTTTTTTTTTTTGCTTATGTGGTGCTGAGGAATCAAACCGAGGGCCTCATGCACACAAGGCAAGCGCTCTACCACTAAGCCACCTTCCCAGCCCCCATCCTTAAGCTTTTTTGTTCAAGATTAGTGCTCTAACACTTGAGCTACAACTGCACTTCCAGCTTTTTTTTTTTCTTTTCTTTTCTTGTTTTTTGATGGTTAATTGGAACCTGGCAGGGTTCACCATGATCCTTAACACTCAGTCTCTGGAGTGGCTAAAATTATAGGCCTGAGCCACAGGTGCCCAGCTGAAGGTTTCTTTTAAAAATTATTTTTACTAGCTTACATTAGTTTTTAAGAGGGGGTTTATTGTGTGGCATATATACAACGTATCCCTTATCCCTTACTCCCCTCACCCTCCCCCCCTGCAACTACCTTCACTCTCCTGAGCTTCTGCTTTTTTTTTTTTTTTTTTTTGGTCATAGGGCCTGAACTCTGGGCCTGGGTGCTGTCCCTCAGCTCTTCAGCTTAAGGCTAGCTAGCGCTCTACCACTTAAGCCATGGTGCTGCTTCTGGCTTTTTCTGCCCATGTGGTGCTGAGGATTGGAACCCAGGGCCTCATGCATGCAAGGCAAGCACTCTTCCACTGAGCCACCATCCCAGCCCCAAGCTTCTACTTCTTAAAATAATATCAGCAAGTTTCACTGTTCTGTTTTCCTATAGGCAAATAAACTACGTGGATGATATCCTCATTCACCCTCTTTATTAGCCCTTCTCCCTTCCTACTGGTACATATTGATTTCTCTTATCAGAGCCTAAGAGGAAAGTTTCTAGGTTTCAACCCCTAGTCTAACTTCACTTGAAAATGCACATGACCAAGGTGTTATAGCTGGAATGAAGAGCCACTTGTATCGTGTACTTTCTTAATTTAGTACAATGCATCTCTCTTCCCTTTCCTTCTATATTGGGATGACAGCTGCACTTAATTAGTAAGTAAACTTAAATGCTGTGGAAATAAATTAGTAACTTCACCAATAAAAGCCAAATGAGGGCTGGGAATGTGGCTAGGTAGTAGAGTGGTTGTCTAGCATGCATGAGCTAGGTTCGACTCCTCAGTACCACATAAACAGAAAAAGCCAGAAATGGCTTTGTGGCTCAAGTGGTAGAGTGCTAGCCTGGAGCAAAAGCAGCTCAGGGACAGTGCCCAGTCCCAGAGTTCAAGCTCCAGGAGTGGCAAAAAATAAAATAAAATAAAAATCCAAATGAGGTTTACATCCATTCTACTAACTATGATTTGGGAAATTATTATTCCTGACAGTTTTTTAATTTTTTACATTTAAAAGCTAAAAACCTAGTATACAACCTTAGAAGAAAGCATGTTTTGATATAACTAAAGTGGCTTGTGGTTTAATCTCATGGTCTGATTGCTCAACATTGATTCAGTAAGCAAGCATCAGGCAATTCAATGTTTTTGTGAAGAAGACACAACAATGAAGAGGTAATCCGTGAGCTCTTAGGAGATTTATAGTTCAGCCCATAAAAAATGTGCCAAGAAGTAAAAAGAGAGTAGTATATTGTGGTAGTTTACAGGACTGAGTGGCTACCTGATCCATGGAAAAAGAATGAGTTCTTAGTGGTGATGATAATCTGTAAAGGCAGTGAAAACAAGCAAGATTTCAGAGTAAGAACACAAAAGAGGATATTATATGCTATTTAATGGTGTGCTGTTACACAATTTCCTAAGTAAATGTTAAGATTCCTATGTTGGAACAGTCATAAACTTGTCTCAGAAATGTCTTACAATGGGCTGGGAATGTGGCTTACTGGCAGAGTGCTTGCCTAGCATTCATGAAGCCCTGGGTTCGATTCCTCAGCACCACATAAAACAGAAAAAGCCACAAGTGGTGCTGTGGCTCAAGTGATAGAGTGCGAACCTTGAGCAAAAGCAGCTAAGGGACAGTGCCCAGGCCCTGAGTTCAAGACCCAAGATTGGAAAGAAGAAGAAAAAAGAAATGTCTTACTAACTTCAAATCATAAAATCCTGTGTATGTGAGAGGGAGCATAAGCAGAGATAGGAAGAGAACACTGAGAGAGAGTACAAAACAGAAAGAGAGAAAGGGATCTGAGAATATCCTAGAAATTCAGTCATCAATTGGCACTAATCTTTACATTTTAAGTAGTGTAAGTTATTTCTTTCATAAGTTCCCTAAAACTAGAGAAATTGTGAAGTAAAACTGCAGACTCATTCAACATTTTTCATATTACCATTTCCTCTGTCTAGTACTCAGTGCTTTTGTAGCTGGTTTTCTCTTGCCTATTTAGGAGCACCTGGACAGAACTGGTTTGTACAGAGTTAGGGAATTCTTATTTGATGGAATGTCACCTGGCCAAGGAAACAACATTGTTTTGTTTTTCTCTCCTCTAGGGACCAAGGAACCTTATTCTGGAGAAAAGTAATGTCTAATAAACAATGTACAATAGGCAGTGTCTACCTAAACATATCAACAGATTATTCTCCAGTATGGGTATACGTATAAAATACTAAAATTGTAAATCTATCAATGACTATTTGATTTTCTTTATTACTTGGGAAAGCAAGATCATCAAGGCTGTTTTCAGGTAAGGACTACCAAATAGGTCAGCTTTTCAATTTTGTTAAATTGTTATCATTTTAGGATTTTAATTTTCAGCTCATCTGAACAAAATAAGGCCAGTTTATTGTAGATAATTATGTAGACACCAAAACTAACAAAAGTCAGTCTCATTTCATCACTCAAAAGATGACTCGATATTCCTCACTTTTCAGTTGGCTTTTTAACAGATTATATGTATATTGACCAGGAAACTAAATTTTAACTGAGAATATGATTTTTCACATTAAGAAAACATGGAATCTAAATTTTAAAAAAAATCAGAGCTGCAATTTTGTAAGGTCTTTTGACTTAAAACAAAAACCAAAACCTGAAGGACTTTCTGAGTTTGCAGCACAAACAAAAGAGTTTAACCCCAAACTGAAAAACATTCTTTCCTTAAACACAGTTTGGGGTCAAAACATTGGCTAATATGTTACACATAAAATGGCAGTACACTGGTTGAACAAAAATCCTGGCTAAACACTTTTTGTGTTTTGACAAAATACTACCCCCAAATATCAGAAGAGGTCACCTCGAATTTTACAAAGGGAGAGAGCTAAGGAGGGACATAATTACGAGATAATACCAGTAAGTTGGTCGTGGGATGACTGGAAATGGCAATTAAGTACAATTTTTAGTATGACAACAATGCAAAAGATGCCAAAGGCAGAAGACTAAGCAACTTGTAGATTTAATCTTTTTTGCCTTTAGGTTACAGTTTTTTTTAGAAAGTGATTTAATTAATTTTTTAGCTCAATCAGTTTCCCAAGAATTACTTTCCTTTTAAGAAAATCTCGTCACTTTTCCATAAAACAGCCTAGGCCACAGGCTTGCTAATCCATTAACTTCATCTTTCATTGCCTCTTCATTCAATCGAGACTGTCGCATTACTAAACACCCCCGTTCTGAGCATAGTGAATGCTTATTTCTTCAAGTCTTTTCTTATACACCCTGCTTTTAACCTTCCCATACCATTTATGCTTCCGAAGCATGGGATCACTCAAAGCACCTTTCTGGCAAAAATGACGGATAAACCCCTTATAATTCCTGAGAAAGCACACTGCTGAGGAAGCTTTTCAGTGACTCTGCAGTGAGGGCCATTATCGGTGACATTCCCTCCTCAGCCAGTCTCACCAGAGACGCCTCTGCCTCCCAGGGTTTTGCCTATCTTCCTGCTCACGCGACTAAAAGCCTTGGCTAAAAAAACAAAACAAAAAAAAAAAACCACCATCACTGGGGAATGGGACCTGGTGGCTGCCGCAGCACCCGAGGAATGGATGAAGTAATGCTGCCACACGGAGCTCCAAAGGGTCCGAATCGGGAACCATAATGGCCGCACTCACTCTCACACCCGAGGGAGGTGGACGTCTCCACCTCGCCAGGTACGAGGAGGTCGATGACGGTGAAGGGTTGGGGGATCCAGAGAGCTGGAGAAATAGATGAGCTCCGAACCCACGCAGTGTGACAGCGGGAAGGATCCGGCACCCCGGGACAGCGAAGGCTGTTCCCTTTTCCTTCTTCCCCTCCGTCCACTCCTACTAGTCCCCACCCCCCACCCCGCAAGTCGCCAGTTACCGGCCGCCGCTCACCTGGCAGGGGCGCGAGGTGTCAGGACAGTTCCGACCCCGGGTACCCAGAGACTCTGTCACCGCGGGAGGGGAAGTCTTCAGCAGCAGGGGGCGGGGCTGGCTGGACAGTCACGTGACCCCAGGGCCCCGCCCCTCCACCCTCCCCACCCTGGCGCAGTGCATCTCGGGGGCTTGCACGGTTTTTACACCTCCAGGACGTTAGTTCTTTAGTACTTAAGCGGGAGTAAACCCTCCCCAAACCCCCGTCCCCCGGCTTTCTTTTTACAAAGGCTGCGTGGTCAAGGGTAGGGCCGAAGGCGAGGATGGCAAGGGTTAAAGTGCATTGCTAAGGAAGTGACGTTTAGGCCACAAGCTAGGGACCGGAAATGGCGATAGTGTCCCTTTCTTCCCGCCCCCTCGGCCCCCCCACCGGGAAAATCCCAGGCCGTGAAGCTAATCACGTGATGCCGAAACTTATGGTGTGCTGGAGGGCGGCCAAGGCCTCCGGCCGACTGTTAACAGTGCTCGCTTTTAAGGCACACGCGAGCGTCCCCACCGACTTCTTTACCCGTGGGAACATCAGAGTTAAATACCCTTGCGGAGGAGCCACGAGCGTTTGAAGGTCACGCTGGGAGACAACCGACCAGCAAAGACCGGGTGGGGAAAAGATCGGGTTTTTTGCTGATGTGAGAGAAGCGCAGGAAGGGTTGGAACAATCCAGATTTGACCGCCCGGGCCTACCAAGCAAGCCTCCCCAGTCGTGTCGTAAGGGGTGGGAGGAGGAGCGTGACGAGCGCGAGGCGCAGCCCGGGAGAAAGATGGAGGTGCGGGCCGGGAGGGGGAGGGGAGGGCCGCGAGACCCGTAGTGCGGCTGCGCGCGAAGCCTCGGACGCGCCGGCGCGCAGAGGGGGCGGGGTGAAAGGTCACTGTGCGGCGGCGGGTCTGGCTGGCGGCGGCGGCGCGGCGACGGCAGGCGGGAGCCGAGTGCCCCGGGTGCACGTGTGGAGAAGCGACGGTACCGGCGCGGCGGCGGGAACTCCCCCTACCCCTTCCGGAGACCCCCGGGGGGCCGTGCTCTGCTTCTGCGGCCTCCGTCACCTCCTCAACTCCCTTTCCTTAGGCGAGGAGGCCGGCTGGTGGGGTTGAGTGGCCCGAGGTGAGGGCGCGGAGAGCTCGGGGCGACGCGGACGACGGCGTGGAGAGCGGTGCTAACGACGGCCTCAACCGGAGGGGAAGATGAAAGGGTGAGGCCCGGGGGGCCGGGGAGAGGGGCGTGGGCCCGGGCGGGGAGGCGCGGGGCCGCGGCCGCGCCGAGGCCCGCTCGGCCGCCGGAGGGGGCGGAGGCGAGGCTGTTGGCGGGCCCGCGGCGGCCACGGGGTGCGGAGCCCCGGATTGGAGCCCCGAAGCCGACCGTGTGCTGAGTGGGGCAACGGGGAGAAGCTTTTGTGAGACGCTTGCAGCTGTAAACCCCGGGGCGGACGGCCGCCTGGCCCACCAACTGTAGTTGAGTTTTGCTCATACCCAGATCCGGGGTCTGGATCTGCAATCTTTGGACACCTTTTCACGTACGTTCCCAACTTGTCGGGGGGTGTTAAGGGGGGGCGCTGTTGGCGGGGGTTAGAGAATCTTCTGGAGTGATAAGGAATCAGAATAAAAAGCACAGGAATGGATATTAAAGGGCTAGTGACTCAACTAGATCAGGGTTGGGCAGAGCGAGTGGGGGGGCGGGGGGGGGGGGAGATGAGCTGTAGCCCTGTTCGGAGTTGGGGTGCCAAAATGTTTAAGGAAGTATTGAGGATCAGTAGGTGGAGCTATTGCTTCAGGAGTTTGTATTGCCCCAGAGTGGCGTGAAGGGGATTCTGGGTTACAATGTTTTCTGCACTTCATTGACATACTTAGGATCTTGCAGTTTCCCTCTTGGAAGAAATTTTGGTGTAACTGTTTTCGTGTGAATGAAAGTGTTTCTTTACCAGAGAAAGAAATGGAAGGGTTTTAACCGTTAGAAGCTTTCTGAGATTGAGTACTTTTGTGTGAAGTTAAAAATGAACCCCCCCCCCCCGCCCCCCATTAGTTAAGTAATGTTAACTAAAAGAGCTTTCGGAGATTCCTGAGTTTTTAAGTCAGCTAAAAATTGTAACTATGAAGCTGGACGCCAGTGGCTCATGCCTGTAATCCTGACTTCTCAGGAGGTTGAGATCTGAGTATTGCGGTTCGAAGACAACCCAGGTAGGAAAGTCCATGAGACTCATAAACTACTCAGAAAAAGATGGTAGTGGCGCTGAGGCTCAAGTGGTAGAGCACCAGCTGTGATTACAAAGAGGCTCCGGGAGAGCACCCAGGCCTTGAGTTCAAGCCCCAGGATCGGAAAAAAGAAATGTAACTCTGCTTTAAGTTAGTGGAGCTGTTCAAAGTATTTAGTACATCGTTGAGAAGAAAGTTAATCTGTTTTGAGGCAATCTTATACTGCCAAAAATAAGTAATGTCTCAGTGTAGTTATTTGAAATCACGGGAGAGATTCTCAAAGTTCGATTTGGTCTTAGATCTGAAATACATTTTCTCACTTTGCTTTTGCTTTATTGGATAGTCTTTCAGTGTTGAATTGTGTATCTTGGAAGTATTTGCTCCAATTCCATCTTGATCTAGGAAGTTTGACTTGCTTTTATTTTATATCTGAGCCAACATATTTGGGAAGTCTAGTTTTTCTGCTAGACAGTACTATAATCCTTGAGTATAGATGCCATCTCCAATTTAGGGTAGATTTTTTTTTTTTAATGCTCATTGTCACACAGTTCATATTTGCCACGTTCTATTAAAGTAAGAAAAATGAGGCTGAAGGGTCCCCGTGTTAAAACTGTGGTAGGGATTTATAAAAGGGGACACTCTCAAGAATATTTTGAATGTTTAGATCAAAATCTTTGACTTCGCTCAGTTTCCACAGTATGTAATGTTCTTCCTGATAACTTGCTATGGAAATGGGGCCAGAGATATTGCTCACTGTCTACTTTGAATTAGTGTACTTGTCAAACAATTATTTTAATTTTTTGTTGTTGTTGGTTGTGGGGCCTTAACTCTGGGCCCGGGCACTGTCCCTCAGCTCTTCAGCTCAAGGCAAGCGCTCTACCACTTGAGCCACAGCGCCATTTCTGGCTTTTTCTGCTTATGTGGTGCTGAGGAATTGAACCCAGGGCCTCATGCTTGCGAGGCAAGCACTCCACCACTGAGCCACCTTCCCAGCCCCAATTATTTTAATTTTAAATGAATATTTAAGTATAAAATGATGGAGGCAGATCCCTAAAAGTAACTTTATATAAAGTAAGAAAATTTATATAAAATCTATAGTTACTGAATCTGTACCACTCAATCTGAAACTGAGTCTTCATTGGTCTTACACTTAACAATTGTGAGCTTAAAATTACCTTCTTGACTGAACAATTTCAAGATGATTTTATAGAAATTGTCCTTTGTATTCCCAAATTAAGATGTGTTTTTCAAAGTGGTTTTCAAATGAAATCAGGATATAGTACATTCTTTGAGCTCTAGAGTCACTATGTACAATATGGTCAGTCTCCTGACTTGATTGGGAAAGTCCTATAAAAAAAGTCTTATTCTAATTTTTTGTATGAATTTTAATTTGCTAGGTTTTTTGTACACTGAACTGGACAGGAAGTTGAATAGATACATCTGAAATTGGAAATTACAGAGTTCCTAACTACACATCAATCTATATTTAAGTATTTTGCATTGGGTCTTGGTGCCAGTGGCTCACACCTAGCCTAGTATGTCAGGGGGCTCTGAGATCTCAGGATTGTTAGGAAAGTCCATTAATTTTTTTTTCAGCTAACTAGTAAAAAGCTGGGAATGGAAGTGTGCTCAAGGAATGAAACATCAAACTTGAATGAAAAAGCTCAGGGAGAGCACCCAGGCCACAGTCGGCACAAAAAGAAAATATAAATGTATCTGTTATGCATTGATAACCTGTTGTATTTCATTTTGAGACTATTTTATATGGGATTTTTTGTTGTTGTTTGGGACAGTACTGGAGTTTGAACTCCAGGCCTTTCACTTGTTCTGGTGCTTTACCACTTTTAGCCACACTCTGAACACTATTTTTGGCAGATTATTTTTGATATTGGTAGTAGTAGTAACTATAAGGTATTCCATTGTATTTGGTATTTTTCTTATTAGATTGATTTCGTTACTAACTTCTGTTTGTGTTTATATACACACCTGCAAGTTTGAGGTATGTGGGGAAATGTTAGAGATAGTGACTTGAATTTGTGGGTGGTAAAAAATTTTTTCTGTTATTCCTCTCTAGGGAAAATGATATTCAAATAAGAAGTTTACCTTAGACAGTTATGACTGGTGTGGCATTGTAGTCATTGATGTAATGCAAGTGAAACCAAATCTGTTTGTCTTTCCATTATGATAGAGACAGATTGGTTCTAGTTTTTGGTGTTTTTAGAAGTCTTTTTCTTGGGGGGTGGGGGGGGGATTGGTCTTCAGGCTTGAACTCTAGGCCTGGGCGCTGACCCTCAGCTTTTCAGCTCAAGGCTAGTGCTCTACCACTTGAGCCACAGCACCACTTCCGGTTTTCTGAGTGGTTTATTGGTGATAAGAGTCTCACAGACTGTCCTCCCTGGGTTGGCTTTGAACCGGGATCCTCAGATTTCAACCTCCTGAGTAGCTAGGATTACAGGCGTGAGCCATTGGCACCCAGCCTTTTAGAAGTCTTTAAAGAAGATGTGAACACATAGGAAGGTATAAAAGTAGGTAGGATAATATAAATACAGAACAATAATGCTAATGTAAACATCAAAAGGAAGCATTTTGTTTAAATGTTACTACACAGTAAAATGTTAGATTCTGCCATTAGAAATGAAACTGTTGAAGATTTTCGAGTAATGATTACCTGTAAACAGCCTTGTAAACAGCCTTGTTAATTGGGAAGAGACCCAGGGAGTCTTCTGGGTTACATGAAATATTATGTATCTTTGTTGATTATTTAGGACATAGGAGCTGTTAACAAGCTTTATGATGTTTTCCAGATCATCTTAGTTTTTTGAGACAGCATCTCCCTATACAGCCCATAGTTGAGCTTTAAACTGGAGG